AAGGTGGGGGCTGGTTGAGGAAGGGACCTAGAGGTAGACATGTTTTCATACATGCATATGCACCCCTCCAGGAATGTGTGAATGCACACACACACACACACACACACACAATATTGCAGTGCATACATAGTTACAGGGCTATCTTAGCCTTTTGAAGTTGCTCAGCCCTAGCCGCACAACCTTCCCTCCATGTGGTATGGCTACCCTTGGTCATGATCATAAGTATCTTAAATGTTTATTTCTCCCCTGAGGAATACTGTTGAATTTTAACAATAAGGACCATGCCATGCAAAACGGAAAAAGAAAGAAAGAATTATTTCATTTTCCTCTCCAGATGTAACTCCAAGACCTTAATGTTCCAAGATGTTTTCATTTGGACCATGTGACTTTGGTGCTCATTGTAAGAAGTACTTTAGCAAAAAGACCCTGACAATGTGTCTCACCAGGGCTCGCCCCTCTGTGACATCCCATCCTGTCTCCTTTCCCTGTTCTCCCTGCTTCTTTCCCTTTCTCCCACCCAGACCACCATAACCGAGTCCTGCCAATCACCTCCTCTCCTTCCCTTTCGGCTTCTCTTTCTTGACACCTTTGCTCTTGGGAGCTTGTCTAGTTCCAAAGTTTAAACAGTCATTTTATGTGAGAATACTCCAGGCTTTATTTGTGCCCTGGCCTATTTGCCAAATGCTAGGCACATAATTCCAGCTGTACTATTTCAGTCTGTGTCCAAACTGGGCTCAGCTAGAATCCAATCTGCTGTCTTCTGTAAGACCACAGTCTTTCCTAACCATCTCTCCTGGGACTTTCTTCCTGCTGGTTTGTTCTTCACACATGCAGGCCCACAGCCTTACTATTGTTCTTGGGCACAAGAGGCAGACAGGGCTAGTGACATCATCCCACAGGTAAGTAGGTAACTGGTGACACTCTCAGAGGAGCTCATGGTTCTTTTGTTGGGCTTGGATGTTACCCAGTCACATCTGGATGGTGACTGTAATCTCCTGACCGCTTCTACCCCCCCACCCCCCCACCCCGTTCCCTGACCACTCATCCTACACAATAGCAACAGATAAGTTTTCTCTGACTGAACTCTCCTCTGGATCACCACTGTACCTAGTCTAAGCACCTTGGGCATTTCTAAGCACCTTGGGAGATGGATGTTCAGGCAAACAAATCACCATAACCTAACACAAAACCAGCTCAGACAAAGTCATCCCCATGGTATTTGGATACTGACAGATCTATTCACAAGCTTTCACTGTAACTTCTTCTGCAAACTATGGCACAAATATTAGCAGTGGATATGGGCTAGATGCATTGCCACCTCTGACTGACTGTCTCCTCCTATGGTTCTTGACCACTGAGAGGCGTTTCTTCTTCCTTTTTGAGTTCTGAGCATTGTTTCCTCACCCCTGAATTAACTCAACAATGACCTTTTATCAACCACATCCACAGACTAGATTTAAGGCTAAACACCATACACATCAGGCTCACTTACTCTTAGTGATCCAATCTTATGAAAACTGCCATTGACTCTCACTTGTATAACCAAAGCCTAGCTAAATCACACAATATACCCAGGTCCCATGGCAGTAGTATCTATTGCCAAAGCCTGAGTCCTTAACCTTTGTAGTGCTCTCGTCTTTTCTTCGGGGATGCATCCCTCTTTGAAATACACCTGCATTTCTCTACCTAGCTACTTTTCTGGCCCAGCCTTGTAGACCTCTTAGCAATGCTTGCTGTTGCGGTTTTTGGAGTGTGGCACAATAATTAGGTACATGAACTCTGACATCAGACTGCCTGAAATGTAATTATGGCTCTGTTACCCACTAGCTTTCTTTTAAGCATCTTACTTATTAGCCTTTGTATACAAAGTACAACTGGAAAAAAAAAAAAAAAAAGAGCAATCTTCACAAAACACTAGACACAGTGCTTGGAACACAGTAAGCACTCAATAACCGTATGTCACTCAAATTCTCAGTGCTTGCACCTGAGCTCATGTTAAAAGTCTAAAGTAATTAAGGGACAAGAGCGCCTGCATTTTTAACTCTGTGAAACCTAGCAAGCTGCTCTGGAATGCCTGGTTCCACTAGGCTGTGATTTTTTTTAAAGTCTTTATTTTTATGATTATCTTTTAGGAAATGAGTGAGCAAGATTGCAGTCCTTTTGAGGGTGATGACCAGAGCCATACAGGGTGAACTGAAACTCAGAACTGGTAAATCTCTTGTGCATGTACCGCGTGCCCGCATCCAGCTCGCGCATTTAACTGAGCATATCCTGTTTACTAGGACATTTAATCAGACTCCGTAAGATCTACAAGTTGCAGGAGCTAATGTATCTGTGTCAAGTCAGTGGGGTCAATCCAGTTTAAACAGGAAAGACAATGCCACTGTTGGGTGGAGACAGGAATGTCCTCTCCATCCTTGCCTGCCAGGATTCTAACTCATATGCTCACATCTGGGCACAACCCCAGCTGTTCAGAATCATAACCAGGTAATGTCTCTGACTCTCACATTAACCACTCCACCCTTTTTACACCCAGGATTCTCACCGTCAGCCTTGGGGGGCCTAACGGAACCACTTGGGAGACTGAAAGAAACAATACATTGCAAAGGTCCCTTCCAGAGAGGTTCTGATCCAAGTGCCACAGTGAAATGTGTGGGACCTTGTTCTGATTTGGGGAAGCTCCTGGGGCAACAGCAACAGACAGCAGGTATTCTAGTCTGCAAATATCCAAATGACGCAATAACTGGATGTACTTTCACAATCCCCAGCAAAGCATTTACCATGCTGCAAAGCTAATGCACTCAAGATAATCACATCAATTCTTTGTTATCTTTTATCTTCCCATTCCCAGCTAAGGAAGGGGCTAAAGAGCCGAAAAGAGACGGGAATTCTTGTCTCAGAGCCCCAAAGGATAGTCACTGTAAAGCTGGGCAAATTAGTTTAGCTTCATTTTCTTATTCTATGAAATGTGAGTGCACCTCTCATCTTTTATTCAATAAAAAAGAAACCAGACAGATGCCAGCTTTACCTGGGATGGGTGTCTTCTGAGGGTGCAGAACTTGTGCACGAATGCAAGTGACTGAATTGAGACCCACAGGGGTCAGATCAGCCTTGCCACTCAGAAGGGGGCAGCCTGCCTGAGCATCGACTGCAGTGACACTCCACTGAGTATGTGACTTCCTTCTTGTACAGCACCAGGCTACCTGACACACCCGGAGGTCAGTGCACTGGGTGAGAGGATCCATTAGCTTAGTGACAGCTCTGAAGAGGGGATTGTGGGAAAAAAGTCTAGCAAGATGATCTAAAGCAGAATCTGAGCTTCAGTAGCCCAGGTGACCCTCAGTTTTGGGGTGCAGAAGTCTTGGAAACATCAAGAAAGTACAAATGATCAACTGAGTGAGTTGTGGTTACTCTTAGGGTTTTCTCATGTTTCCCTGTCTGTTTCTTCTCTCTGAAGGTCCCTCTCATTCTCTATGACCTCTGAGGACTTATTCACTGTGTGTGTGTGTGTGTGTGTGTGTGTGTGTGTGTGTGTGTGTGTGTGTTTTCTTACTCTTTTATCTTTGTACAACACACAGAGTGGGGATAAAGAGAGGAAAGAGAGAAAGCTACCTTTTTTTTTTTCAGAAGATTAAAAAATGTGGAAGATGACCCATCAAGTAAAAACCAAATTCCCCCTGCCTCCACCAAGCCTTCTCTTGGTCAACCGTTTAGCTGTCAAATGACTGATCGGTCTACATAGTCAGTTAATTCCTTTATCAGTTCCCCCTTTTCTTTCTAGAATAAGGCTAACTCTGATGTTCTTCAAAGGAGATGCCCAAACCACTACCTGTTTAAGTTTCAACATTGAGAAGTTGCTATTAATATTATTAAGTATTATTAAGTATCAAAACCAAAAGCAACACAAAATAGTAAAAAGAAATGGAACTTTTGTCATACTTTCTAAATTCTGGGGAGCTTGCACATTCCTCAAATATCACATTATCCTTCTATGGAGGAGATAGTCTCCTCAAAAGACTCTGATGTTAAGAATGTGTGAGACCCCATCCTGGCTTATTCTAAGAGCCAGGAGAAACACCAACAATAAAAATAAGCCTTTAGAGTACTTGGAGGTATAATTTGGTTGGGGGTGGGGGAGAAAACGTGTATTGGGGTGGTATAATATTTTAAAACTGTGAAGAGCTAATCTTCTCCAACAGGAATATATCCATGTATTTCTATGCAGTTAGGAAAAAATAATTGGCTCACCCTGTCTTTCCAGTGCTCTGGACACAGAGCCAGAAGGATCAAAAGTCTAGATCTAGCCTGATCTACATAGCAAGTTCTAAGTCAACTAGGGCTCTGTGGCAAGACACAAGACCCTCTCTCAAAAAAATAGAAAAAGCAAACAAAATAAAAGCAAAGCAACAACAACAAAAATCTGCATTGGGTCCTTTAGAAAGGACAAAGAGCTATGGTGTTATTGCACAGCCTGCCTTTCTTTCACAAAGAAAGAAAACATACACCATAGAGACATTTCCTACTTTCTACAACATTTGGAGCACATCTGACTGGTTCTTCATCCCAAACACATTTACTGAGTAACACACAAGCTTCGTTCTCTTCAGCCATGGGCAGGAGGTCTCTGCACCCGGCCCAAACACTGCCTGAAACTCCTTAAGTTACTCAAGGGCAGTGCCCCCACCCCACCCCCCCACCATCCCACACACACCCCCCACCCCACCCCCCACCCCCGCTTGCTCCGGGCCACCACCACGACTGTGTGGCTATCAGGACAGTCCAGGCTCACCAGTGCTCCTGACAAGTTTGGGAAGATTCACAATACTATACCCGACTAAAGAGAAAATCCTAAGGGAACTTGTAGCAGCTCCATGATGGTAAGTGATCTAAGTTACCACGACTGGGACGATGTTGTAAAAAGAGCATCAAAACACCTCAGGTTGCCAGAGGGTCAGCCACAAAGGGACACAGACTACAGAAAGAAAGAAAATAACCGTTACCTGTTCACCACTGTTGTCTCTAGGAGCCTGTTCTCAACAGATGTGGAGAAACTTCTGCTTTTCACTACGGGGCCATTGGCCCCGCAGCCTTCTTGGGCAACCTCACAGACACTCAGGGGACAGCAGGACGGGCTTCATTATGAACAACAGGACTGGCCACTCCTTTGCTCAAGTTTAGCCTCCAGAGCTGTACTCCACCTAGCCTTACCGAACCATCCCCTAGAGCCTAGTTGCCGTTTGAAAAACAAGAAGCGATTTCCTGGTCCACTTCCCCGGATGGCGTGTGCAATTTCCCTCACGCCCATGGGAAGTCCTTCAGGTCCTCTTATTGAGTAGCCTCTCCACCGAGTGGTCAGACTTGTTTGGGCTATGCCCCTTGTTCTTGCTTTCCTTTTTCCAAAGGGGGTAAGAAAAAATTAAAACTACCAACAGTGCAAACCAAAAATGGGTTAGCACTTTGACTTCAAGACAGATCATGAATTGAGACTATGTAAGGAAAGTTAAAATTACCCATAAGTCCCTTGCCTCTAGCAGGACCAAGAAATCAGAGGCTGAAAATGTCCCAGAGGATGGGAACTAACTAGAGCTTGAGGGAGACCCTTGCTTCAAACACATCACAGTAGGGGACATCTAGTTTCCAGGGAAACTGAACATTTGTAGATCAAATGATATTCAGTGACACTTCAACAAGATCTCAGTAACAATGGATTTGAAGGTAAGGAGGCGTGGAGAGGACTAGCCAGCAAGCTCCCGTCGCAGGGTTTAAGAGTAAATTGCAATCACAATCATGGCTTTTTAACTGAAAACAGTCCAGTTGCCCATACCTTACAACTGAGGACACTGGGTATCGAGGAAAAACTGTGGCCTGCCTGGGGTTGGAATAAAGTTGAGAAGTGCTATGTTGTCATTAATTAAACTTTGTTTTGGAAAATGCTATTCAATTTCTGAAACTCTATCCACACAAGATTTGCTTAATAAGGCCCAGGAATCTATGTGGGAAGAAAGTAATCCTGGATGGTCCCAAATATTAAAGAAAAGTCTATACTGTCAGGACAAGGACCCCAGAGTTCGACTCTAAGGTTTTAAACCACAGACTGTCAATGTCTATTCACACAGTCTAATGGATATGACTCGATGGTATTGAAACTTAGTTTTACTGTGTGGAACTGTGATAAAATCATATAGAATTCATAGGCTTTGCTGTAGGAGCTAAACAAGCCAGGGAGATGTCACCCCCCCAGGGGTCAGTTCTAAGAGCCCGGGAAGGTTCTGAAATCTAAGTAAGGATGTTCATGTCCTTTATATAAAACAGCATAGCATTCACAAGTAACTTATACGTGTATTCCTACATATTTTACGTCACCTATATCACTCCCAGTAGTCAATATAAGGTAACTACGTTTCTGTATTGTTTAGAAAATAATGACAAACTGAAAGGGTCTGTACATGTTCAACACAGATGGAATTTTCCAAACACATTCAGTCCAAGGTTGCTGAATTCAAGTACATGAAACCAAAAAATATAGAAGACCATGTTTGGGCAAAAAGAACCTGAGCCCCTATGTCGTATTATTCCACATCTATGCTCTCAGTTGCATTCTATAGTTTGAACCGGGTATTTTTTTGCCTGAAGAAAGAGCTTGCTAGCAGCTTGGCTACTGGGGGGGAATTTTCTTTATTTCTTTGCTTCTTTTTTTCTTTCTTTCGTTCATTCTTTTGTTCATTCATTCTTTCTTTTTTCTTTTTCTTTTTTTTTTTTCTTACAATTCTTGCCTGCATTGGTGGCGGTATTGCACTTTGCTCTCTGATGTGGAACAGGGAGTTGACAAAGTGGCTTTCCCTTTCCTTCCCCTTGCCCACACTCCCCTGTCGTCACTAGGAACACCCTGTGCTCACTTACACACTTTACAAGGAAAACAAAGCCTGGTGGGAAATGGAACTGCCATATGGTCTGGACCACAGCTCAGTGTTGACTGCTAATAGAGCACCTTGAGTTGTTGTAGCCACAGGTGGCTTTGGCCATCGGATCGAGACACATTTCTCTTTAATCCTAATGGTTCCGTTGGTGGCGAGTCGAACTCAAACCTCCGCAAGCCAACTATGGACACAGCCAGAATAAATAATCCATCTGTTGTGTTACCCATGCTTGTTAACAGAAGTGCCTTACATGCCAGGTGTAACCTTCATAAAGAGAGACCTCCTACTTTTCCAGGCAAGAATTTCAGCTGCAATCAACACATACTTTCTAATGTGGACCTGGTCATTTTATTCTTCTGTCCTCCCCTTCTTCACCCAAAATGCTACCTTCTCTTTTTAAGTTTACAGGTGTTATTTTTTTCCAAAGACCCTCCTTAACTCTACTATCCTAAGCCAGGTGTCCCCCACCAGCGCATCCTCCCAATCCCTGGCACTGTGCCCCATGTCTTGATGCCCCAGAGGATTCTTTGCTGCTAACACTCTGCTTCCAAATGATCAGCTCAGTGCACTGACTATAAGCACTTTGAGGGCAGGGACCAGTATCGTATGCCTGGGTCCTATTATAGAAGTGGGATGGAGTAGATGACCGATAATAAGAAGAAGCTGCCGAAATTTAGCTGTGTCTTATCAGTTCTCACAGCTGGTTCCTCCTCTTCGTAAAGTGTCCCATGGCTTCAACTTTGGAATGCTTCTCTGTAGGCATGTACCCCGAAGCAATCTCCGCTCTGCTTTAAATGTTTGTATAATGACTCCCAAATGCCTGTCTCTATTATGGACCTGAAACTCTGACCCATATACCCAACTGCTTGTGTAACATTTCCAGCTAGGAGTTCAATAGGACCTCAGGCTGTAAGTGTCCAAAATGAAATCCTCAGCCTTCCCTCCAAATGTATTATCTTCTTGGCCACCTCCATCCTTCCAGGGTTACCAACACCCAAACCCTAACAAGCCCTCCTGGTGTCTCTGATTACCTTTCCTCTGTTAAAAAATGGTGTCCCCAAGAGAAGAGTCAATGGCCAGTAGGTCTCTGCAGCAGACCATCTGAATATAATACCACACCACAAACCACAGCCACAGCAACATACCCAAGAAAGTCCATGCAAATCTACCTCAAAAACACTTGAACTTCTACTTCTTGGCCGGCTCAACACCATTTTTTTTCAATCCGTAACCAGGTATTGGCAAGCCTTTTGACCCAGTGTGGCCCCGGAGGGTTAGCTCTGTTTTGCTTTCCTCACCACCCTGCCGCTGCCCTGTCTTTACACAAGGAAGGCAAGGACAAACAGCTAAGCTGTTTTATAGCATGCAGATGGCTTTATTGCTATCGGTGGCATGCATGGTCTGAGTCCAGCGGAGTCTGCACATCTGTGCTCAGCTGCGGCCTCCAAGGGTGTAGTCACACTCACTGTTAACATGCCCATTCTTCCAAGGGTCTGCCACTGTGAATCTCTCCGAGAATCGTGGCAGTAGAAGATCCCTTAGCTCCCATCTTATAAGCCAGCTGAATGTAGTTGACAGCTTCCTTCTACCACTTTGTACCTCCACTAAAACCCCAGCCTCTGCCAGAAATCCCAAGTAGAAACCTGTGTTGCATTCTGCTTTTTCCTGGGAGAGGGCAACTTGGGGTATGGCTCTGTACAGTTGCTAACAGCAACCCTCACTTGACTCTTACTTGGGGGAAGCTGACACGAACCCTCAAATACAATTTCCAGTTCTCTGAGGTGACATCATTCCTGGAGGGAAAAAAATGCTAGCTGGTCCTATGGTATGATGTGTGTCACTCACATACTTCAGCTATGATGCACATGACAAGAGAGTTATTGGGTAACTACATTTGTCACTGATTCTTCCTTCCAGTAGTCCTCTCCTCCCCTAGTGTCATGAGGGGAGCAGGGTGTTGAAGGAGCTGGGCATTTCTTGGCCTGGGAAGGAATGTTTCCCCTTGAGGAATGCCTGTGCACACTCTACTGGGGCAGGATGTTGTGTATCAATAGGTAATGTATTCAGTGACCGACAGCAAGTGTAATCTGCAAACACTGGTTTCTAGGTTCAGCCCCTTAAAAGTGCTTCTCCTATGTCTATTCCAATATTCTCAGTTCTTTTCTGGACCTCACAATTTCCCATGAATCCCCCTGGCAGGGAAAGAAACCAGTCCTTTATAATAGGAATTAATTTCCTTCAAATTTGCCAACACAATTAGCATGACTACCAAACAACCACATTGCCCAAGCTACCAGACAAATAGGAGTCAAAGATTCATGCGCAGCAGGAGAAAAATAAAAAAATAAAATAAAAAGGCTAAAGGAAGTCCAGATATCCTAGGTTCACTTCATTTCTACCACTGTGATATAAAACACTCTGTCTAAAAGACTTTGGGGAAATGAGCTTTATTTTCCAATTTCAGGTAATAGCCTATCATTTTGGAGGAAGTCAAGGGAGGAATTCAAGCAGTTAGCCAAATCATATCCATAGTCAACCACAGCAATAAACCATTACAACCTTAATACCTGCTTGTTTACTAGTTTTCTTCACTTAATAAGATTCGGGGTTCAGCCTAGGGAATGATACCACCAATGGTGGGGTGGTCTTCTTTCATCAATTAACATTCAAAACAACTCCACAGAAATACCCATAGGCCAACCTGATCTAAATAATTCCCCAATAAGACTCTTTTTCCAGGTGACTGTCAAGTAAATTGACAATGAAATCTAAACTTCACACCAGGTGACTGTTTGTCCCAGCTACTTATGTTTTGGGGAAGCTAGAAGGCTTAACCGAGGTGACAGTCCCTTGTTAGTGTCAGAGCTAGAACAGAATTAGCTCTTCTTTTCTTTCCACGCAGTTCTCTTAACTTTATACCCTAGTACCATTCTCTCCAAACATGTTCCCTCATCCTCAGTTTCCATGGAAAGAGAGAGTTAACAGTGGGTCACAGAGTGAGTAAAGTCTCATGATAACTCTGTCCCAGAGAGGGCAATAGAGTATCTGCCAACATGTACCTCTCCTCTATTAATACAGATGGTGTCATTTTCTATGTATGTTCAAACCACAATTCCCTTAATACATCATTCCTGCTGCCGGGAAAACGAGGTACTCATTCCCCCTCCTTCAACAGCTCCTAATCACACACACCATCCAGGTCCCAGCCTCTCTGAAGCTCTCAGAGCAGTAGCACCACAGAGGATAAAGACAGAAAATTCTTTCCCAGACAATGTCCATAACTAAACCTTCCTCATTAACATGTCGGCCAGCCAGCTTTGTTCCAGAAAGAACTCTATCTATACAAACTAAGATGAAGAGCATATAAAGCCATGTAGTTGCTTGGTCCTCCTTAGACAGTCCTAGCCTATAGTGGTTCTGATGCTTCCATTGGGCTCTCAACTAAAATTCTAACTAAGATGAT